ACTACCCCTAGAAAAGATATGGTCACAATTTTTCATTGAGAACTTTCTGTTAGCATCCCCCACCCCACCCCCAATCGACTTGTTTGCAACAATTTTTTTCAAAGTATTTCCTGTTCTTCATCAAAATCAGAGATTATATTATTCTGAAGTTATAGAGACATCATGCAGATGTTTGGGAATTTGGAAATTTTTTAAATATAATTTTTTCACGATGAATAAAATAGAATGATGCCAGGAGCTTTTTTTTTTCTAAACTACCTTTCATTTTTTTTTCCATTTTTAAATTCTGTTTTTATTACTCTACCTTTACAATATGTGACATAAGAGAATGTAAGAGAAGAAAAATGGGAAAAAAAAAAAAAAACAAAAAAACAGAACATACAGAACAAAAAGAATCCTGTTGGATTCGTTAGTCTACAGCTACGGCGGGGTGGGGGGGGGGAGAAAAAAAGAAAGAAAAAAGAAAGAATAGAAAAGAGGAGAGAAATGAGAAAAACAACAACTAATGTCTCAGAAATACCTGAAATTTGAAGTAAAGGAAATTCTCTCAAAACAAGTTTTATAGTGTGACTCTTAATGTGATACTGAGCATCATGGAAAAACAAACCTTTCTCACAGGGAAAATTCTAGCATATTCAGGTTTTATTTTTCTTCCCAAATAATTCTGGCCTAAAAGCATCAGTTTGCTTTGTTTACTGAATACTAATTCATCTAAGGAGGCCTGTTGGCTTCGGTGATCAACTTGCATGAGAAAATGCTTTCAGATGTGAATGTAAGTTGTATGATGTGGTTCTTACTTGTTTGCGCAGTTAGATCAATGATCCTATGATGTGGTTCAATATCCAGTCTCAGAGGTGTTGTTACCTAAACTAACAGTGGCTGAAATCCTCTGGTTGCAGGACACCATCCTCTGTAGATGTTGAACAAACATCAACAGCTACAAGTATATAGGCTCACTTTTTGCTGCTGAGAACTAGCCCAAGCTTGTAGGCAGAGGCATGCAGATTCCCATACACAAATAAGGGACCAGCAAAGGGCAGGTACTTAAGAGTCCAAGGCAAAATCTGACATCTTTCACAGCCACTCCTATGTTGTGCAAATCACAGACAGAGCATATAAATGAACAACATACTTCATAAATTATGGTAGAGATTAAAGAGATGCTTCACTGCTTAGGCAAATAATTTTTTTCAGAGAATCTTCCCTTTTATGTTTTACATAGGGAATATATATCAATTCTTTGAGGCTCTTTTCTATAGATAAGTCAGCACCAAGTTAATGGTTTGTAATCCCCAACACAAGTAACAATGCAGAGACAACTCTGCAATGTGATACAGAATTACCATCCACAACAAGCTTCATGCCTCGTCATTACTTGGGAATCCAGTCCTTTTCTGTGCTTTGGAGGTGATAATTGAGCCTCCACCTTCCTGCTTCCCATCTGATAAGCAGTCTGTCTCTCCCTGCTATCTCTCTTTGCGCCTATTTTTTCAACATAATCTATCTTCCCTTCTGCATACAGGACTTCTCATTCCCTTCCATACTAGGGCTTTTGTGGTCGAAGGCAGGAACAAATGGATTTAACTGGAGTATAAGCTATTACCAGTAGTGATTGCAACCTTCTTTTCTGTTAGCTTATCATGTCTTATTACAAAGCAATCCTAAATTAATGTGGTCTTCTATGTGCCACTACATCAGAAATAGCACTCATTAAGAAGAAAAATATATAACCAAGGACTCCGTACAGAAGATTTTCTCCCAGATTTTTGCAGTTTTATATCCACTGTATCATTTCAATTCATTTACCTAGTAAAATTAATTCTAAAACAATTTGTTCTCCAGACCTTTTACTGGCTGGCATCCTCAAATTAATGTGAAGCACTGGCTAGTATATTATATTTTACAACTTCTACCAAAGCAGTTTAGGACAAGATAAATAGAACAAATTTATTCTTTTTGGAAAAAATATAAAACTCAAAAAAATTTACTTCTACCTCTGCGGTATGAAATTTGTCACTAATCATTTTAAACTATGCCCTTTTATGCTTCTTCCATCTCTTTTAGCTTTCTATGCAGTTCTTTGATGTAACAAAGACACTTTCAGACAAGATTTCAGTTCATCTGGAAAAAAAGAAGCTTTAAGTCTTGAGGCAAAAAGCAGTGTATTTAAAATTTATATACTCCATAATGCCTTTGTTCTGAACTTGAACATCCTGAAAAACTTCTCCACTTTCTTTTGCCTTCCGACTCTGAAGATCATTTGTTCTTATGGTTTCAGCTTCTTATTATGCAACAGTGACTTTAACTGGTGGTTCCAGCATTTAAGTACATGCACAGTCATGGCTGACCCTTTCTGATCAATTGCCAATCCATACAGGTTTGACTGATAAAAGAGCCAATTAGATTTAAGCAAATTAAGGGACATCACCAATGTCAACCACTTATTAAACTGAATGCTGAATTCCATGCATACAAAACACTAATGCACCAAGTCCCATTAAGAGTTGAAATCCTAACCCCATTAGTAACTCCAGACCACTACAGGGTAAGGGTCAAAAGAAAGTTTCATATTTATGGATTAACATTTGGATTCAGTTTTTATTTTTTTAATCTTTCCAAGAACTCTTGAACCTGCACTGCAATTTTAGTCAAGAGCTTAGATAAAATATATTCCTTATTTCTAAGATTTTTTTTTTTAAGCGTTGACTTTAAGCAAGGCAAATCAGCTTGATGAGAAATTAAGATATATTCAGTCAGGTAACGCTAAAGATTTGGTGTGCTTTATATTATATGCAATACATTTTAAATAAAAAATGAAACAAAAGAAATGTTGGAAGAAAATTTGTATCATAATTGAAAAACAGTGATCTGCAATAACTTCAAAATGGAATTCTCTTTTGTCCTCTATCACTCTGCCTCTTATACAATCTTCCATCAAGCTCCATGAAGTACTCCCCACAATGCAAATTTTTGAAACAGCTTTTTTGTTATCCTTGAAAAGAGAATGCTATATTTTAACACTCATTAAAAGGCTGTGATTTTGTATATAATGAGACCTCTCTCACTCTTTGATCAAACAAAACTTCTGTCAAAGTGAAATCTTGGCCACTGAAAATTCCTTCTGACTTTAGTAGCATCCAGATTTCGTTTAATGATTTAGAAAGTAAGTGAAGGCCCAGTGTAAAATTACCATTATACTCATAATTTAGCATGCAATGGAATTGTATGGCATTCAAAGAGTCATTATAACAAACATCATAGTAAAGTGAACATACATTGTCTTAGATATACAAGTGTGTGTGTCTGTATGTGTGTACACACATAGTGAGAATACAGTGTGTGTGAGAGTACTTCTCTCAAATGCACTGCTTCATTTATTATTCATTTCACTACAGATCACAGTCCACTGGACAATACTATGGGAGATTTCTTTAATAACTCTCACTGCTAATTTAATTCTACTTAAACACACATATCCTAGTGAATGCCACATGCTTTTCAGCATGATTTTATGTGTAAATCAGGATAATATGTTTTCAGATCATTAACTAAAAGGAAGCATGAACTAAAACCTATTTAATCAATGAGGTATTGCTTTTAAACTACCACAAGGTCATAAAAAAGATAATTTCAAAGCTATAAGTTTTCTAATTGTAATCAACAACAATCTAATGATGAAAGAAAGTGTATCTTAATGGCTGTCATAAACTTGTGCACATCCTTGCCTATCTTTAAAGATTCTTTACCTTATTATTTGGTAAAATTTTCACTACCAAATTTTGTTATTTCTACATGCACAGAAGTGTGACACTGGGATTAGAAATGTCCGTGTCTTACTGCTCAGTCTTAAGTGAGCAATAAAACCCAGATGCAGTTTTATTATTATATGACAACATATATTTGTTAATATTAGGTATAATTTAGCAATCAGATTGGAAAAGTATAAAATGTGCTGGGAATTCACCCTTTCCTTCTTGCTCAGTAATCTGTCATACAAACTCTGCATTTTATTTATTCACTTTCAGAAGTCTTTCTGTTGGTTTGGGCCCAAAACCAATACATCTGTTTGCAAGCAAATTGTTCCAAGTGTAATTGTATTTTTGAGCTGTAAGGTTTATGGAATCTTTTGTTTGTTTGTTTTTCTTTTTCTTTTCTTTTTTTTTTTTTTTTTTACTTTCAAATTATATGTGTGTCACTCCGCACTATTCCTGCTCATCAGCTACACCTACACATCTTTCAAGATGAAGTTTTGTAGGGCTTTCACTTAGAATTCAAAATTGCCTTAAATTCATTTAAATTCACTGGCATTTATTCAACAAAAGCTAATTCACTAGGATGTCCATGAAAAGAGAATACAAAAGGAATACATATACATCAGCTGTAAATTTCAGCTTTCATTTAAAAAAAAAAAACCTCACATGCACAGTGTGTAGGGAGTATTTGCTCAATTCTCTTATTTCAAATTTTTATGAAGATAACATCCAAAGTCGCTTAGAGCTTCATTCACTGTAAATCAGCACATGGCAATTCACTTTCTTACAGCTACACCAGTTTGTGGATTCTGGCTTAATATATTACCAATGGTTTATATTACTATTACTAAACAAATTATCTAAGTCTATCCAGTAAGTGTTCTTTGTCAGCACTTAACTTTTATTCTAAAACAGATTACAAAATGCAGGTAACTTTCTCTACATTCTTAGATTAGATGTCCGTGATAGAATACAACACCATTCACAGAAAAAAAATGAAGTATATAATGCACTTCTCACCTACATAATATGTTATCTACACAACTACCTGTTTTCATTCTCTAGTTCTTACATTGAGCAATGTGACAAATTAGAAGCTGAAAAGAACAATTTTATTAGCAAGGACTACTAATGCAAACATATTCTTCTGAACTTCCAGTCCTCAGTTGCAATAATAAATAACGTTTTGTTCAACAGAGTATTTGTGTAATTGTTACATGCACAGAAAAAGCACTTTTTCATACTTACCTCCTGGAGGCATGACTATTGTTATAGCATCACTTATCAAGCTGCCCTGGCTGTTGGAAGCATTCACTTGTACTGTGTAGTTAGAAAATGGAATCAGTCCTTTAATGGGTACCCATACATTGGATTCGTTGCTGCTGCATAACGTCCGAGTACCATTTACAATAGAATAATTAGCATTAGCTGTTATAAAAAAAAAAGGGGGGGGGGGGGGGGAGAAGAACAAATGTTAGACCTTGCATCTGCTACAATTCGCTGTCTTTATGAACCAAGTCTTATTTCTACTCAAATGAAAAGTTGCCATTGATACCAATAACACCAAAAAATGGCCTATTTGGAAGAAAAAATATTATTCACTATTTTCTCCTCCTTTTGCCAACAGTTTGTGGTACTTGTAAAACTTCAAAAATAAATGAACCAACCATGCAGTTGCAAAACTGACTGCTATATACTGCAAAGAGAAGCTAGTTTTCAGAAATTACTCATGTTTTCTGGAACAGCTGTGTGATAACTGCAAATTCAAAACATTAAGGTTAATTCTTATGCCTAAGAAAAACTGGTAAAACTTCTTCAATTCACTAGGAAAACAGTTACCTTAGGAGTTTATAAGCTAACTCCATTGCATACATAAGAATTAGTCATATGCACGAAAAAACACGTTTCCAGCACGGCCTGCAGTCCTCTCAAAGATAATATAAGGATTTGAAGTATTCGGTTTATCAGTTGAAATCATCAGAGGACACCACAGCAACCTACATGTCCTTTACAACCCTTTTAAGATCTCAAACTTAAGATAAGACAATATTCTACCCTACAAAAATAACAAAATAAACCTTTTCAAAATATCTGATGAGTAAGACTGGAAAACAAAAAAATTGTATGTCAAGTAACAATTTTTTTTGACTCAATGAAGATTTCACTCACGTATCTGAGAGCAAAGCTGAGCTCATTTAAAGATTATCCAATATTTTGAACATATAAAGTGCTACATAAATGATTAATATTATTACTACTATCCATCATTCCATAGAGAGCTCTCACATTGAAGTCGATGGAAATTCTGCATTACAAACAACAGCAGAATCACACAAGTCTGAGACCACAGGTATGAGAATGAGATTAAACAGAATATAACTATTAAAAATATCTTACATTAATTAAGGCATTGTCACAGGCTGAAGATTGAATATTCACATCTGAGTCCTCTACAAAATCTAAATAAGATAGAATTAAAAAAAAACCTAGAAGCTCTCTTTTAATTAATTTTTTAAGTGAAACTCATTGGGTTTACTCATTTTTATGCAAGTTTCAAATGAACTGTTAAAACTGAAATGTTATTAAACCTGAAACAGTTTTTCAAATATTCCATATTTCTATGATGTGCACTAACATGTGCATATGCGGTATGTTTCAGTCACGCTCTCATTACATTTTACCATGAATGAGTCATCTGGACTTTGCTCTAATTTTGGGATTCCTATAAACAATCTGTGATTTACTTACGGTACAAGTCCAAGCCATTCCGCTATTTTGACGTTCACAGAGCTGCACAAAGGGTGTTTTCAGTTATTCTGCTGGTAACATATGGCAAACTTACTTTCTGAGATTTTGGGGAGGGGCAGAGTTTTATAAAACTCTTTTTATAAATCTGCCTGTAGTCTAGTTCCTCATTGCTCAAATTCTACCTGGATTACACCAAGCCATAGCACCAAACTGCCCAAACACACTACAGTAGTGTGAATGTAGAATAATTTCATGAAACCTGATGGATTTATTTTGGATTTCACTGAATTCCACTTTAGCCTGAGAGACCCCAGCAATGGAGGCAAAGCTTCTTATCATGCAAGAACAGCAACCACATTTTACACATTCCACATACAGACATACCAATTCTGCAGAAGCAAAGTTATTTTGTCTGAGATTACTCTTATGTACCCAGGCTACTCAGCCAGCACTGGAAAAATGCATCTGCATTACTTGATCTCAGCTCTTAAATTGTATATCAAGCCCTCCTTCTGCATCTTTGTGAAACTGTCCCTGTGTGTGATTTGGGAGTAGATACAACCCCACAAAGCACATTTCTCCCATTATCTAACACCAGGCAGTCTGCAACTTACTATTTACAACGCCCACCCAACAACATGAGACTGTTATATGCACCTATTGTTTTATTAACAACAATAAAGCCATTAGAAATGGTCAACTGACATACACATTCTTAAGGTCCTAGTGACATGAAGCACTTAAGGACTTATCTGGCTGTGAAAAGAGATGCGTTTTTAAAATGTTTCACCTACAATGTGTAGGAAAGTTTAGAAATCCAGTGTTGACAGATCAAGGCACACAGGATAGATTCAAACCTCAAGCATAAAAGTAGGCTCCCTAATAGCAACTTATGTGCCCAATTCATGAGAAAAATCAAGATTTTCTATCTACAGTACAGTTTTAAGATGTTAATATTTTTATTCTCATCCAATTGAGCCCAGAATGAAAGCAGGTACTTCCTCTGCTGATATTTTTATTCCACTATTAATCTTTCTTCCAGTGGCTAACTATACTATATTTTTAAAAATACAGTTTCAAGTAACAGAAAAGGAATTAAAAGGATAACACTCTATTCCAAGTTGCCTGGATAACAACATTAATATACAGTAATTATACAATTAGTTGTAACATTAAATTCTAGTTATAGCAGAGTGATTACTCGGCAATTATAAGAAGTATATAATTACTCAATAATTAGGAGAAGTATGTAATTACATAACCATTTTATTCAGCTCAAAAATGAACTTGCAAATTCACAATGAGTTAGACAACATAGCAATTCAAAATTTTTCATTGCTTGTAATAAAAAGCTGAGGTGCACTTGCAAGTTTCCTAAGCTGAATTTTACACAGACAAAAGGTGTTTTCTCCCAGTTGCCAGCCAAGCAACTTACTGCTACTGGCAAGTAAAATATTAGAAGACCATTTTTAAAATGCAGGTCTTGCTGGGGATGACTTGCAATATGCAGCTTTGCCACTTCTCACTGCTTAAACGTTGCTTTCAGTGGGCTGGAAAATGCAGACACATAGGTTCAGCCTGACAGAAAGCGATACAGCGATAACCCTGTCATATCGCTCCGTGCCATTCCTGCAGACTGCTTCAGTGTGGACCCTATTTGTGAGTATAAATGGATGAGGCCTCTCTTTTTCCATTTTTCATGTGTGTTTTTCTCTCCATCCTGCTCACAGGTCCCACTGTAGTCTACCAGCAAGTCTGCCGCAGACCTAAACAGCAGCTGCCTCAGACACTGGTAAAGTCCTAAGAGACATTGTTTTACTTCAGACAAGTGGTTTCTACCAGAATACCTCCCCGTCACTGTGCATTTCTGCCTCATAACTTCTGCCGCAAAAAGTCACCAGCGCTCCACCAAGAAACATTCCCTCAAGACATAGCTATGACGAACAACCTAACTAAGGAGGCAGAAGACAAACTCCTAGAACTGGCTCACCAATACTTTGATACTTAGACACGCAAGCACCCTAACCGAAAGATGAATTCAGATGGAAGGGGGCTCAGAGCCACCATCTCATATAGCCTCTCAAAAAAGACTAAACCCTTTGCGGACATGAGAGGCTTCCCCATGCTCCTTAATCTTTCTATGGTTTTGCATTGTGATGGTTTTGTTCTTTTACTAGGCTTCCTCCTCGTAAGGCTCTCCATATTCCCCCCAATATTTCTGAGGGACTTCTTTGGCTAAGTCTGGTATTTGAGAAAAAGCTGTGCTGTTCCCAGTTTATTCCTAGTTTATACCAGATCAAAGTACCTCAGTTTTTCAGGAAAACATTATCCAAATGAAGAAATTAGGGCTGAAGAATATCCATATACATACTTTAAAACTATGTATACTTGAAAAAAAGTCAAGTAATAAAACATGCTTACATTAAAAAGATACACAAATACATATGCCATTCAAAATCATTGTTTAAAAGGGCTAAGCTTCACACAGCGCTCTAGCTGGTGAGTATTTGTGTTTGAAGGTTCACTATGGTTTTGGGTGGACACTTTGAAGGGGGCTCCCAAGCAGATGTGTATTCCTGTTACTGAGTACTACTGTAAATAGGAGAATAACGCTGCTGTGGGTCGGTGGTGCGTAAATTACTGCTATCCTGGGTCCATCATCCTATGGGGTTCACTAGATTGAAATAACATAAATGGGTATCCTTTTCCATTCTTGTTATAATCATTGTCACAAGAATTTTAATGCCTCATATATTCCGTAATTTTTTTCTGTGTGCTGTACTGCTCTGACCTTTTCAATATTCTGTAATTTGACTGGCTGGCCATTTCAAGTTCTCTCCTTTTTACAGCCTTATTAACTTGTGGGGAAGAGGTGAAATGGACAGCCAATCAGAATACATAATATTGCAAAGGTCACGGTAGTACAGTATAGTATCAGCAGACACAGAATACTGTATATTAATCATTAGCGTTCTGATATCTTATTCATGTGACAAAGGTTGTAAGGAGCGCAGGAAATGGTACAACATGAAACCATTCTCATGACAAAGACTGCGATGGAAAAAAGAAATTATACAAACTAAACACATTTATCTCACATTTAAAAACTTTTTTTTTTCCCCAGAGATTGCCACATTTAAATGTACTCTTCCCATCTGGATCAAAATCAATGTTTTTAAGGAAACAGGTAATAAATTGAGATGTTTCCTTTTTGTGTATTAAACAGCAAACACTCATGTTTCATATGTATGCGCAATCTTTTCCAAATTACCAAATACTTTTATTACTATCATTGCATTGCTAACTGTTAAAGTAATAAGTTTAAACATAACCAGTCTAATGTGTCAGTATCACAAACACGTTGACACAACTGCTGCTGACTTCAGGAAGCAAGGAGACCATGCTAGTGAAAAATAGCACTGAGCTCTCACGTGCTTTTCTTTCGCTAATCGTCAACTGCTAGCCATCATTACATAGAAGATATTGGTCAAAAATCACCTTCCTTATACTTCCCTGTTCGTATTCTTATGAGACTTCAAAAACAGCCACCTTTGTAAAACAGAATTCTACCTATTTCTATTTGTGGTGTCCTAGAAATTGGCTGACTGCTCATCTTATCCCCAGATTTGTTTGAACTTAAATGATATTACAGGATCATAGTTTGTGAAATGCAGAGAGAT